AGTACTTATATAAGTGAATAACTGCTAATTAACATTAAAAGCAGAGGAAGTTCAATATTTTTTCATTAAAAATTTTATATCATGGCCCTTAAAATATATATACTAATTTTCTCAACATTATTCTTTATCAAATATCATAGTTTATTTCCACCTTCCACATGTGAATTAAAATTGTTAAATAAAGAGTTTTAGTTGTATTTTACCGTAAAAATCTAAATAATTTTAGATAACAAAACATTAATAGTAACTTGAGGGGTGGCGTTACCCCACCCACTCTGGTTCAGAGTAAGACTTCTAAATGAATATCCGATGAACCAAAGTAATGCATACACAAACTTAACAAATTTACCTCATATGATAAACATGTGCTTTATTTATAACAACAGAACTATAAAGTAGTTGTTCAACATAAAAATGTATAATATACATGTATAATGATTTCAAACGAGGAACATCAAACATAATTATAATACATACAAATTTGTTCTGCAAGCCTAATTAACATATCTTAAAAAATAGTGACATTTAACTATAGTCAACAGTGTTTCATATTTAATTCTACATTAAATATATATTGTTTCATATTTAATTCTACATTAAATATATATTGCATGCAGTACATTTAAACTTGATTGCTATGCTCCGCCTACTTAGTGTACTGACCAACTGACTACATATTGTTAAACAGTCTTAGAAATAAACTCATAGTATCAACATCTCGTTATCTATGCATCCACACCAAAATAAACAAACATAAAACAAATAGAATTATACATTTTCTGAAAAAACACAGAAATATATTTACTGCGGCTGCCTGACTGAAAAATGTACATGTACATGTGTATATATACATAGTGCTTTTATAGAATAAGACACATACAATGTGTGTATATTACGAAATAAAATTGCGTATGTACGTAATAATTATGTGGTAAGACATTTGTACAAAGAGCACTAGCATGGAATAACGTCATCTTGCTCTTCATCAATATCATTTTCGTCAATGGATGGAGAATTTGAACAGCTGTCACCATGGCATGCACCGCACCCTGAAGAACATTCTAATCCGTGTTTACGGCATGTACACCGCTTTGTATCGCAATTTTGTTTGCAGTTGCACTTAATAATCTTCAGCAATGTTTCCGGTGCTGGTGGTAGATCAGTTTTAATTGGTTCAAGGCTTCCATTGTTAAGTTTCCATCCCCACTCCAGTGGCGAAATTGTTTTGTTTCCAAGCCAAATTTGTGTTTGTAAGTATACCCGTAAACTATGATACATGACAGCAGCGGAGGTTGGAGGTAAGGTATGTACTTGAACGTGGTTGGAAGTATTTAAAACCTTATTAGAAAATTTTCTAAACCTCAACATATCAAGTCCTTCATAAACGACGCCTCCATGTAATAAAACAATAGCATTTTCTCCACTTGTCACAACTTCTTCTCGCGACGAATCTTTGTTGAATATACCTGCAAAGTCTCGAAATTTGGTATCCTTTTGGAACAAACGGATACCGGTAGATTTACTGATGCCATACATGTGGGATGTCGAATCGCAACCTGTGATAGAATGGATAAATGGGAGAGAATGACATACTTCGTGTCCCAACACTTGTTTTGTCTTCTGAATACACCATAGTTTGGGTATATGAGATACACTACGTCTTATATCTGATCTGAAAAATATATCGTTGGAATCTAGAGTAGCATGACAACAAAGCAATACCAGTAAGTCTGTGTCCTCACCTATCACTGCTGTATCTTGAATTAAACTCTCAGAAATAGCTGTATGTACTATAAGACAATCTGCGCCGTCTTCAGCATTACTTTTACTTCCTTACTTGTCAAATATTGCCCAAGAATGTTAATAAAATTTTGTTTGTTCTCTTTGTTGCTTAAAAATGTTTCCTTTTTGGACATGAAAGGTGTTTCAAGTGAAAACTTAACATGTGTACAAATATTTCCCTTTCCCCGTCTGATGTGTGTTACGTCTTTGATACTTGGGCCAGAAGAATAACCATCGAAAACAACTGTAGCCCCTTTATACCGTTGTTGAATGCACTCATAATATTGATTGCATATATCAGCGAATGTACAATTCTTTTGCCAAGGAATACGTTGCAAGAGTGACCCTCCATCTAATACGTATTTAACTGTACTTGGGATTTGGTCAAAGCTACAATCTCCTAAATGCCAAATTACATCTGCTAGTCAAGATTTCGCAGCTTGTCTTGGGAGTCCTGTTAAATCAAAAAGGGAAGACGGCGTACTGTATAACTCATATCTGAATATTTCACTTAGTTCAGGAACATTTCTGTTTGCAGCAGCTGTAAGCCTCTGAAATAAAAGTTGAGGGTCAACATGAATCACTTCGTCATTCACTTTAATACATGATTTTGTGTCCATTGTGATAACTTGCTGTGATTTCTTAAAGGAATAACTAGCAACAGGTTTCCCAACCATTTCTTTCAACGTGTTCATTCCTATAGAAACAGCATTGTCTACATTAACAGTCACTTCACCTGTTACCCCTGTATCTATATTTCTGAGTGACTTCTCCTCTTTATCAAAAGGTGTGCGCTCCATGAGAAATGAAAGGAATGTTTGAGTGTCTTTTGTGTCACGACGTTGTCGTGTTTTGCCCACTTCCTTGTGTTGTTCGCTTGTTTGAAAGACTGTCTTGGTTATTGTTTGCATGGAGCTGTTAATCTCTGCACATGCAGGCATAGAAAGCAGCCATTGCGCCCGTTGAATATCTGACATACCACGTCCTCTCGTAAGTCCCCCTGTTGCCTTCACGCTGCGCATTAAAACTTGCTCTATTACTAGATCAGTTGATAGTCCTGACCAAAACCGGTCGCTTCTCCTCACCACGTGATTCCCGCTTAAGAAAGCCTGGTGAACATCTGGATGGGTTTGGTCTAGCTGTAACATATTTTGAAGGTAAATATACGCAGATCTCAAATATAAACTATGACCTGATGAGGCAAAGTAAGGCAGCATGCTCTTGACAGCTTTTAAATGCTCACACCAATCGCCTATGCGTTCAGCTTTTAAGAATCGGTACAGGATAGACAGCATATCCATATACATTAACCATAATGAGGCTGTCCTACTACTCTTCAAAATTTTTTTTGTTTCTGTTAAGCATTTCTCAAGTTTAGATAGAAGTTCAGAGTCAGCAACCTCGTTAAGCGTTACGCTTTTCTCTTCTAACTTATCTGACATTTCTCCCAAAGCATACAAAATGTCACACTCAATCTTTTGACAGTTTTCTCCAATATTTTCAGTATCTGACGAAAGGCAATGGGTGCTGTTTGTTACATTCATCTGTGAAAGTGAGCTTGATTGAGGCAAATTTTCAAGTTCCTTAGTCTCTTCTTTAATATCCATAGCAGACTGTTCTGAAATAATCGTCTCTGTCATGTTCTGTTCAATGTTTTTATTAATCTCGCTCATTCTAATCTGTGGCAGAGAGATCTCACCTTGTATAATATTTTGATCGGGCTTGGCAATTGATTTAACTGGTAATTCTGTGGGTTTAATACCAAATGTTTCAGAAACAAGTAAAGCATGTAAAGCTCTATCTATCAAGAAGTGTCCCCGGACTGCTCTAGCTACTGACTTCCCAGACATCATGTGTATTACTGCATTAGGGGCATAAACCGTTTCAAGCAATTCTTGTAAACCTGTCCCTCTCATTAAATACCCTATGCTCCCCAAGAAACTCATCTCGGTATGAAATCCCCCAAGGCGAAGAACAATGTTTTTCAAAGGACTGTTGGCAACTTCACTATTAATTACAGCTGTTGATTTTAAGAATAACGGTTGATCAAATGTCACTACAGGTGTAAAACCGTACCTCTCACTCTGCTTGCAAATGAACCAAAGAGTTGAACTTATACACGTTAGATCACTTGGATTAATGTCAATCATGGGCATAAAAGTGACACTGGACTTCCCAGGATAATTGCCATTCTGGAATAGTTGCATGAAACCAGACCATGCAGGCGTGGAGGGTCTTACTGTCCAAACAATCTTTGATAACAGGTCAGCTCTATTTGAAGAATTTTCAGTGTTACAATCTTCTAATTGCATAAAAGTCTCTGAACTGATTCCTTCCGCTAACGGTTTAAAGTATCTGATGTCAATCTTGCCTATGTTAGCAATATCACTTGGTTTTATATCGCAGCGAGGAATGACAAAATTTACCTTAGAACCTGGTGTTGTACATGCAATGATTCCCATGCCATGAAAAGTATTTAGGCCGTCTAAATTTCTAATGTTGTGGTCGACATTGTCTGCGACAAACTGAACGAATCTTCCAGGAAAGTAGTCTAGAATTTTGGAGTTGTTTATTGCTGCAGCATTTGATTCGTATTTCTGTACTTCACTGTAAGAAACACTGAAACCAAGATTACATAAGGTATCTACAAGAAACCTGGAACCAAAATTGTGATGCATTTGCACCCCAAGGCCCAACTGAAGTGGCGCAATTACAGATTTAGGTCTACATGCTTGCATTATAGCTTGGCCTATCGATGCAATTTTAACATCAGCATCTTTCTCACTAAAAACAGTTCTTAACAACAACAATAAACTATCCGGTAAGATATCTAAATTTTCCTTTGAGGAACTAACTGTTTCAGCAGAGGGGTAGAACATTTTTGAAATTTCGACAGACTGAATATCATTTTTAATGAGTTTGGCTGCAGTTGAAATAATATTAATCTTTTCTTCTTCAGGAGATTTTTCCTTTGAGTTTTTATGAAAGTTATGTATGATTGAAGATGCCGTTACTTTTAAACTGACAATATCATTTCTACCATCTAAATCACTTATAACAATATTTGATGCAAAATAATCTAACAGCTTATTTTTCATGTGTTTACAACTATATGCTAGATTTCCACAAAGTGATTGCATGCGTTTAACAAGGTCAGAAATAGACACAACAGTACAATCTTATTGTTCAATATATGTTACTATTTCATTAAAGGCAGAATTTTGTATGTCATTTATTTGTCTCCCGGGACTTTTAACGCTCAATAAAATCTTCTTTACATCGTCGGACTCAAAAGGCTTGGGAATTGACCTGCCTGTTCGAAAATTTACATTACAAGTTTGATGGTACACTGCATCTGCAGCTGGTTAGTCTATAATGTTTTCGATTCGACCTAGCACAGTCATAGACCAGTTATCATTTCTTTCTTCACATTTTTTCACTATTGCCTTTTGGAAATCTAGAGTTCTTACTTGAAATACATCATGGCCACGTTTTCTGTTTGTAATTTTTGCATCAGTTGAACAAAATAGGCATTTGTTTCTATAATCAAATGAAACACATGTAATGGGGCGCAAACTTCTTGGAGAGTTGAAGCTACCAGGTAGAGTGAGAACACTTTGGCGCTTGTTAATGTAATCCCTCCGACAAACTTTATGCACGGGCTGACCAGGCTGTGTTGTAATATTATCCCCTTTCAAGCTACTCTTATGATTTATTGCATTGCTACCTTTATCGCCGATTAATGAAACGTCTTGGCCTTCTTCGATACTTTTTTTACAAATGGCACATGCCGTATCCATTGTATAAGTTATCTGAAAGTATTTATTATATCAATAAATTAATAGGACAGAATTTTACAAATATTTCAGTTTTGGACAGACGTTACAGTTTAGTTAGTGTAGTTCATTGACGTCATATAATTGTATTTCCAATTTTATCACTAGCAGTAAAGGTTAACCCTATAGAAAACATTAGATCAATTTTGAAAACCCAAGAAACAAATAAATATTAGAAAACAGCTTCCCTTCATTCCATAATAATAATTATAATTGCTTGATAGAGCATTCTACAAGCTGGGAAATATAATGCAAATGCAAACTTCAGTGACTTTGTTACAATTTCATGGTTACTGGCATTTGTGTATTACAATAATGAGTAACATGTATTATATGCTCACCAATCTGGCTTTCTTTTGTGTGTCATTGTCCTTTATAAAAGCTGGTAAGTCCTCGTAAGTCTCCTTCCTGGTGTAGAAACAATAAAGATAAATCATTATTAGCTTAAAAATCTACTTTTGATAATAAAGTGTCACTTTTTTATGTAATCCTTTTAAATTTAGGAACAACAATTTAGACAGCTCGATAGTAAAGTGAAGTATAAATGTTTGGCCATTCGTCTTTATGTACATGTTTATTATCTTAAACATTTTGCCAAAGATTGCTAAAATCTTACCTATCTTAATCTGGAAATCAGTGTATTATAACATTATTCCCCAACATACAAACAACAGATCAAGCCTCACACCTTCAATAAATTCTGGATGTACCAAACAAAACAGTCTAGATGTATCGCCCTGAAACAATATTTCTACGTTTAACATTTAAAACATTACGTATACAATTATTTGTAACTAAAAATTCTCGATATAAATTGTTTGAATATTATAAAAAATACTTGTAATTATGGTCTTTATGCACAACCGTAGGGAAAAAAATCAAGCAGAATTTCATTTAAAAATATTGTTTTCTCATTCTTTTTTTTTTAATTTAAGAGTTGCGATAAGTTTTATATTTTCAAGCTCTGGAGACATTTCCCTTCTTTCTTTTAAAAACACAACAAATAGCTAAAACAGCAAAATCCTGTGACTTTTCATGATTCCAAGTTTGCTCGAGTATTTTTCATACTTTTGAAGTTTTAAAATGTTCCCAGGCCCTAATAAAGTAAACATATTGCTTAAAGTAAATAAATAAAACATTTTGCCAAAGATTGCTAAAATCTTACCTATCTTAATCTGGAAATCAGTGTATTATAACATTATTCCCCAACATACAAACAACAGATCAAGCCTCACACCTTCAATAAATTCTGGATGTACCAAACAAAACAGTCTAGATGTATCACCCTGAAACAATATTTCTACGTTTAACATTTAAAACATTACGTATACAATTATTTTTAACTAAAAATTCTCGATATAAATTGTTTGAATATTATAAAAAATACTTGTAATTATGGTCCTTATGCGCTTCCGTAGGAAAAAAAATCAGACAGAATTTCATTTAAAAATATTGTTTTCTCATTATTTTTTTTTAATTTAAGAGTTGCGATAAGTTTTATATGTTCAAGCTCTGGTCACATTTCCCTTCTTTCTTTTAAAAAACACAACAAATAGCTAAAAAAGCAAAATCCTGTGACTTTTCATGATTCCAAGTTTGCTCGAGTATTTTTCATATTTTTGAAGTTTTAAAATGTTCTCTGGCCCTAATAAAGTACACATACTGCTTAAAGTGAATAAATAAAACAATTTAAACATTAAAGTTTACCTTTTCAAAACATCTTCTTACAAAACGGGTAGTTTTAAAAAAATCCGGGCAGTAATATCGTCATTGAACCGCCATTTTGATGACGTAGTACCTGCGCTCTGCTAAAAATACGTCACGATGGTGGAAAGGGATGGACATCTTCAAAATACCGATTTAAAAATAAAATCATTTGCGTTTATCCGCGAAGGGGCAAGGACTTTTTTATGCAACTTTTGATATAGTGTTTTTTGGCGACAGTTGTATTTGATAGACATTAAAACATTTCTTTTGCAATTTTTTCTACGTCTAAATCTACGATGACTAGACTATCAGAACCTTAGACAAAACACGGTACTGACGTTTACAGGAAACTATTATGCCACTAATGAATTTTCCTTATATAATTTAGTATATAAAAAAGTGTAATGCTTTTCTTGAATAGTTCAATGCATAATGGTATTTTAAAAAAGTAACAAATAACTTTATTCATGTATTAATTATGAATAAAACGTTTGGCAAAGATCATGTTATATTTCTCGTTGACTTCAAGGAAGATGTTACTGACAAAATATCATTTTAGTTTACAAATTCAAAGATAGTTAAAATTTAAGTAGCGACACATATAAATAGTAAAATTATATCAATAACACAGTAACATTTACAAATGTTTTAGGGTTTTATGTGCGAAATCATTTATATATAGTGCATTTGTGCATAAATTGTTAAAATTGAATGAGAAAATTGCCCTTGCGTAACTTTGTAGTATGATAATTATATGATTATATGTATATTTGTACATTAGATATGTTTCGTAATAAAACGCAATATTTTTCACTTCAAAATAAGTTTCGCATACACCAGACGGTGAGACCTAGGTTTTAAATTAAAACCGTGATCAGGTATGATGTTATTGAAGCAGATGTATCGAAATATTTAATCTTAATCCATTGAGCTTTAATAGAAATATTTAGGTAGGATACTTTCACATAAAATATTCATAGCTTATTCTCTCATTTTATTTTTCTACTGCAGCATTTTATTGACACTATGTTAAGAACGAACAAAAATGTCATATCAGACCTTATAATACATCATGTGATTATGAATAGACATACATGTAATTGAAATAAAGAAAGGAATAGAGTATTTGTTTAATTTTTTCTTTGTTTAATGCATTGTGCTATAGCCAGGCTTCATAACCTCTGATCGCCATTTAAAATTCCATTTTATTTAGTTCCGCCCCTTGTTTTCTCGTTTGAGGGCAAACGCATTTTTTTTACTTGGGGACCTTATGCCGCTTTTCATAGAATGGCACTTACGTGTTACATTGAAGGTTCCAGGATAACCATCAAACACATCTGCGGATGCAATCTCCTACGCAGTGATCTCCCTTACAGGCCACATTTTCGTCAAGATTTTTGACGATATGATTTTTTTTCAATTTTTATATTTATTTTAAAAAGTAACACGGTTTTGCTAATGTTTCAAAACCGATAGGTTTCAAGACCGATAGGTGTTAGATGTAAACTAAAATAAAAAATAATTTTGGAAACATAAATATTATGAAAATAATTTTAAATTTTTTTAATACTGCACCGTTTATTTCCAAAACAATGACCCCCCTCGAAAGAGAAATCATTCAAGTAATTATTAATTTCGACTCTACGCTTTACAAAAATCTATTTTTTTTTCCAATCATATCGACATATTTGAGACCAAGTTTTAATGTCGCTGTTTATTACAGATAAAACATTTTTTCAACGATTTCATTGGCGTATACGCCATTTTTACACAATCACGTGATAAGACCATCATCGCGTGATTTGTGTGAAGAGGCAGTGGTTACTGGCCGTAGCATAACCGGTGCGCGGAGTTTGCTGCGGATGTTTCAAAATTCCAAATTTTACCAGGTCACGTTTAATGTTGAATACAGCTTAAGCCTGTGCTAGAGGGCGTGGACGGTTACTTGCACATTCCATTACCGTCCATGAACATATATCAGGATAGTTGGTAACTTTGATATACCGATTTAATAGCTTTAAATTGACAAAAATCAAAATAATTTCAATATAAATGCACCATTGTCTTATACAAATCGTTTGTCTAAGGAAAATGGCGGATTTTGCAGACATCTTAGCGTGACTGATAACGATCGCCGATTGGCTTATCTGTAAGACCCCTGCCAGCTTGATTGACAGGCGGCGAAAATTTTCTCGCCCAAACAGTTCGACATGTATATAATTTTTCACTACTGGACAGTCAGAGATTTCTTCTATGTATCGTTCCAATTTTAGTATATGTACTGCCAAAGCAAATAGTCAATCTCATTTTTATTTTTCTCCATGATGCATATAATGGTCTCATTGGCCTCCCGTGCATCAAAATTGTATCATCACAAAAATCGACTTGCATACATATTATTAAGTATCATTCAGTGAATTACTGAATTCAAAATTTATAGGTCATCTTTTGGTTGATAATAACATTTAAGGACATGAATGGTGACATGTCCGGGGTCCGAACTCTCAGTGCCTGACAGGGCGAATGGACCCTCATTAAGCCTAGAATACATACATACATACAGTCAGAGATTTGATCAGTTTGTGTAATACGTAATCGACATCTCTTTTTTTACGTGGATTAAATTGTCGGGTGCTATTACTTATGGTAGAAATTGATTATCGATCGTCGACTGCCCTAAAGTCGTCCCTGTCCTAGAGTCAACGTCCTAACTTTATTTTTCAGAAAGTGTAAATAACAAAATGTTCATTTTGGCGGCGTTTAATTCCGATCACAATAATCCGAAGCTTTACGGAAATAGCCGAGCAATTTTCAGTTATTAAAACGATATCCATCCGCGTTATTTGTGATTGTGCATTTATTGAAAATTCTATAAGTCAAAGCTACTTTTAAACTTTGAAAGCGTTATAATTCGTTGGATATTTGTAACAAAATAAAAATATTTCTTTCTTTACATCGCTAGTTTTAAGCTGTTTTGAGATGTTAGGATTGTCGGGAAGATCTTGCCTGATCTGCCATATGAAAGACACTTTTCGTTTGTAACCTTTTTTTCAAGCAATTTATATGTTTAAATATTTATAAGCCTACGAAAGCTGTATGAATAACACATGGGAAAGATATACTTTTCTTTTCCTCACCAAATAATGCCAATATTTTCAAGTATATCTATTGACGAACGTAACATACGTCAAATCAATAGTCATACAACGGAGGTGTTGGGATAAGGGGAGGGGGCATACAGCAACAAAGTTATGTTTGTTAAAACTCAAATGTGTTATGTTAACTTTTAACAGCATCTTCCGAAACTGTGTTATCATATTTTGTGTGCGGCTGTAAGTTAAAAAGATTGATGGCGGCTTTCCAGCTCATCTGGTTGGAGTGAACTTAAGACTTTTCTCCATTCCTGCCTAAAGTTTAAAGCGTATTATGGACATTATTATAGTTCACCAAACATCATACTAGTATAACTTAAAAATGCATCAAGAATAAAATTATTTCGAATACCAAAATATTTCAGACGTGGCTTTAAAATATTGGTGGTCCTTACCTTGCACACCAAAAAACGTCAATGAGTTCCGGTGGCAAAGTAAACTAAAGATAAGATTTACTGATTTCAATATCTAATATCAACGTTGGAAATTGTAACCGTCTGTTTAAATACATATACTTGTACTTTTATTACAAAGTCAAGATTAAGAAAAGTAAATTATTTAGATATGTGAATACAATCCAAATAAAGTAGCAATGTTTTGTTGGTCTTTATAACCTGATATTCAATTAAAATGATATATAATAGTTACAGTTATTTACGATAGTTATCATTCATTCTACGCCAGGCATTTTAAGCACGTAATGACACTCGAACATGTTACAAAACGTATTGCAAGAGAAAAGTTTGGTTACTACGTTCACACCAATCATTGTAACTTAGCAAAATTGGCTGATGGTGGGGGTTCAAATGCAAAACAAATTTAGCATACAAAAATTTTTTTTTGTGATTAAAGGCTCACTCTGCTTAAGAATAGATTTTATTTTTATTTCCATTTTTTATTTTAAATTTGGTGTGCTTTATTATTTAAAAAAAATAATAAAAGCTGGTCATGTATAGTCTAGGAGCCATATTTTGTATGATTAGTAAATAAGAAATGGTTAATTATTTTGTATAAAAGTCAAAATACCTTCTTTGAAAACATTGGAAATGAATTTGTAAATAAAAAGAGTAGGCCTAATCTTTAAACTCCCTTAGTTTCACAAACCAATTTTGACATTACCATATTTGAAAGCCCATTTTTAGGAATTGAAATACATATGTACAAATAATATTAATAACTAGATAGAAATAAGGATAAGTTTTAAATTCAGGGTCATTTGGATATATATGTTTGTTTGATTGGGTTTACGTCACACCGACACAGCATAGGTCAGATGGCGACGTTCCAGCTTTACGGGTGGGGGGAACACTTCAGTTGCCCTTCCGTGCATTATTTCAGAGATAAACCACCGACGTAAGCTAGCTGGATACCTTCCTCACATAAAAGAATCCAAAGTCCTTTTAAAAGTAATAGGGAAACTTTTCTATAAATCACAAATGAAATACCGATGAGCCAAATAAATGATTCCCTGGCACAGTTATCAGAGATTGAGCTCTATTGAAAAATTACCCCATTGATCCTTTTTCAACGGATTTTGATCAATTTAATTTTCAACGTTTAAAATTGACCTCATCGCTTTATTTAGTGGCTCACCCACGCTTGAAAAAATGACCCCCGTTGAAAACTGATCTACTATACGGGCCATTCTTAAACATTGATTGATAAACGACCGAAATAAAATCGCCAAACATGCCTATATATCCTCATACACATAAAAAGTAATATTTCTGTATTCATTTCCATTTTTTAAGTAATGAATATTTATTCATTTTATTCAAGTGGGCTAGAACTTGCCAATCAATCGGCAATAACTGATTATGGGATGGCTATATGGTACTTATGTAGTTAACTATAATAATGTTTGCTTCTTTAAAAGAGCATGCCAGGTCTTTTTTGCAGCTGTTGAAGTCAAATGGCAGGAAAGTAAGAGAATTGCATCTACGAACAATATCAACATATCGGCTATTTTCGTCAGTCTGATAAGCTCAAATTAGGAATAATAGGTGAGGTGTTCGCAGCAAAATTTCGGGGTCATATAGAAAATGTCATTTAGAACTCAATTTTCGTATAATAAATAAGAAGTTCAAGTGAAAGCATGATAATAAAATCAATTAAACTAAAATAATGCATCATAATTATATTCTAGCAACAGCAGTCTAGCTAAAAGCAAATTTAACACTTCGGCTACAACAGCTCAATTCAATAACATCTCTTCAACTCCAATTAACTCAGAGAACCCCAACAAATACTTATAAAATAACTGACCTGTACCAATGACATATACTGTTAATGACTCATTGTTTTATACAAGATTAGAAATGTTGGTCAGATATACCATCCTAAAAATAATATTAGATTTTGCAATATTGTAGCAATTATAAATGTTTACTACAACTATTTTTCGAAATTGCTAATCAATGAACAACAATCAATTTACACAGCTTAATGGATTATAAACCGAAATACTGTACCTAGTATAAAATGTAACGTACATGTATATAATTTTTCCTTTTACTCGTATTTTGAAGCATAACAATGTTTGTAGATTGGTGCTGTGAATGAGATTCATAAAATGGATGCCGCCAGCACCTCAACACTGTACGGAGGTCTAATGACCTCTCCAATTACATTGCATGTAGAAAAATGCATATTTATATCTTTTTTTCGCTATCAAAGGTATTTATTGCTAGTTTTTATAGCTGGGTGACCTTACCCAATTTATAGTGAGGAATGGTCATATCTAAAAATAACTGAACTGTACCAATGACCTAGACTGTTAATGACTCATTTTACAACAAAATGAGTAAAAGAGAACTAGGTTAAAAAGGGTCAGCTATACCATCCTAAAAACAATACTCCTTGTAGAGGACAAGTTTCAAATTCCACAATATTGTAGCTATTACAAATGTTTACTGTTACTTTTTTTCGAAATCATACAGGCCAAAGAATTATAAACCGGATGAACCACTGTCGTAATGTAATTTCTGATTTTTCCTTTTTGTCCACCGCGTTGTTAAATTTTCGTTTAAGTATAGTCGTATATCTGGTACATGGAGTACCAAGTTAGTTCTGATCATACATTATAATGACTTTATTATTCATATAACTGAACAATATGTATATCTGTTAAAAATCATTACATTACAATGATGGAGGTTGTCAATGAGATTGTGGCAATACGTATACATGTATATAAAACACTACTCGTTGGAATATCACAAAAACTCCACTGAAGTCTACTAAACTTATGAAATTAATATGCAATATATAATATACAAAAACCTTGAAAAAACATCAGCGGTTCTTTTATGTAAAATATCTCAGTGGAATCGTGTTACAAAGACTTTGCTTTAATTACTCTGACAATAACCACTTTAGAGATAACAATAACCCCTACTGTACAGTAAAAAAAACAAACAAAAAGAAAAACAAACAAAAAAAAACCCACAAGAAATCCCAAAAAAAACCCCGTAACTAAAAGTATGACTTGTCGGGATTCCATATTTATGAGTCAGTCATGGTAGCATGTTATAAGCTATACAAAATGTCTTTATTTGTCCCATATAAAATGGACGTGTTCAAATGAATTATTTCTTATTTCCATCAAGATAAGTATAATTATGCATATCTATTTCGTGCGGACTTAAAACTAATACATTATATTAAAATATGCTCTATATGCGCTCTAAACCAGATACATGTATATTTATTAAAAAAAACAAAACAAAAAAACAAAACAAAAAAAAACAAAACAATATCACTATTATTATTATTATTATTATTATTATATTATAATTATAATTATAATTGTGCCCCTTTAAAGCAGCTGAACTCCAAAAGATAGCTTGCATATATTTCAAAATCCCGCCTCAAAAACATTATGTAGTTGTAATCGACATGACACTTCAAAATGTTCATATTTTAACATTATTGCTCTGAAAACAAACAGTTCACTTTTCCACCAATTAGAAATACCTTCTTTTATTATACCACGGAATTCTTTCATCCGGGTTTTTTTTCTAGTATCACGTGATCGTACAGGACACTATTTGCGATTTGTGCTCCGGAACGCACGGAATCCGGGATTTTATCAAACATATAGGGATACGAATAACTGCTTTTGTTTTTATATTTGTAGTAATTCATGGCATTAAAATCATAATTGATTAATTATTTCATATATATGATGACCAATTATCGATTTAACCTTTAGCTTGAAATATGATAAGGGCCTACTCAATGACGAAAATTGATAAACGATCCCGGGCATACCGGATACCGGGATTTTTCCGTACCACTGTTGTGACACGTGACCGTGTTAATGAATTGTCTTCTGCTATTTATATTGGCTACTGTGTTAGTAACGTAGTATATTATGGAAAAGAAAACCCGATATATTAACGCTTTTGTCAACACTCTTTCTTGAATTAAGGTGTCAGTAATGATGGATTTATACAATAAACCTAACTAAATCAGTATTTACTTTTTACATGCAATTTTATTTAATTTTTTTTTCATTTTATCATCTGGAGGTCAGTAGGAGATAAAGCTTTTCAGCTTTCTTTCTAACCATAGCCCTCCTTATTTCCACTTTCGGTGAAGTTCAATGACTATGTCACTTCGAGATAACTTAATTAAAATAATAAATATAAATGTGTGGCACACTAATATTGTAGACGTTGTGCCGCGCGAAAGGCGTATAGTTTTACTAGAAAAAGTAAATAAAAAAGATATATTACAATTAGATTAAAAAAAATGATAATGATAGAATGATATTAATTGTTTTTGAATCCACTCAATGCTTGGCCAAAAGATTCCTGTCTATTAATGAATTGTGCTTTGGAATACATTTTACAATTAAACGTTGGATCAAACAGAAGGAAAGAGAAATAAATAATAAAGATATAAAAAATATTTGTAAACACCAAACAAATCAAATGAAATTTCAACAGAAAAGTAGACAAAAATTACCCCTTTTTGGTCACTTCCTTTCATATCTATAACTCAGAATTACTATTGAAAAACAAGTTGCAATTATACAAAATAAGGTTTAGAACAAACTTAAGAAATGGTCCTTTTTAAAAATATAGTATGTACCTAATTAAATATTAGCATTTATTGAGATTTAATGACGACATTAAATATGTGTTTACGATACACAGGTCTCTCACCCAAATCTTGTTTACGTTAAAATTACATAGTTTTAATTTATTTTATTTTTTTGTTTCACCTTTCGTCAACTTTTTGTTATATACATGGAAAATTAAAAACTATAACAAATGTGTGATCGTGTTAAACATTAAAATAGATACTCCGATTTCACAAAAAAATAATTGTAAATGTTTTCTTCATTAGGCCTATCCTGGTCAATGTTTACAATTATCCTTCTTGACATCTTTACCATGTAGAGGATATAACTTAACGCAGACGATGTTTAAAAGTCAAACACTCTAAATCAAGAGTTTAAGTGATCTAGGGAATAAAGGTAAACATTGGACAGGGATTATAAAGCACGCGGTTTCTTTTTCTGATGATTCTTATGATGAGGCTAGAAGTTTGTTGGATGAAAGATATGGCGATCCTTATATTTTGGCAAATGCCTTTCGTGAAAGGCTTGAAAAATGGCCCAAAATAGCTGCGAGGGATGGTCATGGTCTTAGGCGATTTTCAGATTTCTTGCGGCAGTGTGACACTGCAATGCGCTCTATTGGTAGTCTTGGGTGTCTCAATGATGATAGAGAAAACAGAAAGTTGTTGCTTAAGTTACCAGAGTGGATTGTCACACGTTGGAACCGGTTAGTAGTAAAATGGAAGGATCAGAAGGGTTCATTCCCTCCCTTTTCCGAATTTGTGAATTTTATTGTCTGTGAAGCCAAAATAGCTTGTGATCCAATAACATCTCTTCAGTCACTTAAATCAGATCAAACTAGCTCTGAGTCAGATAAGTCTGATAGACGTCCAAGGTATGAAAACAGTCGGCGACCACCTGTGAGAGGTTATTCTAATTTCACTGATACTAAACATAAAACCCCATATGTCCCTCCTAATTCAGGTATTTCTAGTAACTGTTGTCAAATCTGTAAGGGAAAACATGATTTAGATCAGTGTTCGCAGTTTGTCAGTAGATCTTTAAATGACAGAAAGGCGTATATTAAAGACAACAAGTTATGCTTTGCTTGTTTAAAGCCAAACCATGTTTCAAAATTTTGTAGGCAGAGGAAACAGTGTAAAACATGCTCTAAATTTCACCCAACGTCTTTGCATGGTGATGTTACTAAATCGGAAAATCCTACAGATATATCTAAAAATGGTTCCAAAGATCAACCACCGTCTGATGTTAAAATCCTGTCTAATACCTCTTTCTCTACGAGCACCAGTACATGTTTGAAATGCTCCATGATAGTACCAGTATATGTGTCTCAGAAAGACAATCCTACAGAAGAAAGACTAGTGTATGCGCTTTTAGACACTCAATCAGACACTACATTTATTCTCAGTCACACCTGTCAAAACCTTGGTATTTCAGGTACAAAGGTAAAACTTCTTCTTTCCACATTACATTCTGAAAATCGTATTGTTTCCAGTGAAAGAATTAAGAATTTGGTTGTGCGCCCCTTTGATAGCGACTTACGTATGGATATCCCAAATGCGTATACCAGAAGCATTATGCCAGCCAATAGATCACACATTCCGTCTCCTCAAATTGCGGAGAAGTGGCCTCATTTGGCACCTATTGTAGACAAGTTAATGCCTGTCAGTAACTGCGAAGTAGGACTCCTCATAGGATATGATTGTTCTAGGGCTCTTCTTCCTAGAGAGATAATTGCCCCAGATGGCGACGGTCCTTATGCCCAGAGGACAGATTTAGGTTGGGGTATCGTAGGTATAGTGGGTTCCGATAATGTGCACAGTTGTAACGATGAAATTGGAGTTAGTCATCGTGTTGTTTCCTGTGAAGTTCCCCACAATTTGGTTTCTGGTCCTACTCATATGCTAGTGTCTCTCCGAAACAGCGTTAAAGAACTTGTTAACCCACATGAGGTTGCGAAAATGATGGAACTAGATTTTAGTGAATGTTCCAGTTCTTGTGATATTTCTATGTCTCGAGAAGACCAAAAATTTATATCTTTGTTGCAAGAAGGTATTCACATGACAGATGGTCATTATGAAATGCCGTTACCGTTCAAAGATTTTGTTCCTGTTCTACCCGATAATAGATCCTTAGCTCTTCATCGTCTTGGTCAGTTGGGAAAAAGACTTGCCAAGGATGACTTATACCAAACCCAGTATACTGCATTTATTGAAGACATGATCAAGAAGGGTTATGCTGAGAGGGTCCCAATGGAAGATATTGACCGTAAGGATGGCCACGTGTGGTATATTCCACACCATGGTGTGTTCCATCCGCAGAAGCCTGACAAGATCAGGGTGGTTTTTGACTGTAGTGCTCAGTTCAAGGATAAATCTCTTAATGGTCTTTTACTCCAGGGTCCAGATTTAATAAGTAATCTGATCGGAGTTCTTTGTAGATTTAGGAAGGAAGTTGTGGCCTTCACTTGCGACATCCAACAAATGTTCCACCAATTCAGGGTAAATCCAGAACATCGGGATTTCTTGAGGTTTTTGTGGTGGAAGGATGGAGATCTTAATGGTGATGTTGAAACATATCACATGAATGTCCACCTTTTTGGCGCGGTTTCGTCTCCTGGATGTTCAAATTTTGCTCTTAAACAGGTTGCTTCTGATTACGAAGCTGAGTTTGGGTCTGATTGTGCAAGTTTTATCAGGAGAGACTTTTATGTTGATGACGGATTAAAGTCCGTGCCCTCCGTGAACGATGCTATTAGTTTGATAAATCGGAGCAAAGAAATGTGCAGTAAAGCTGGTTTACACTTGCACAAGTTTCAATCCAGTTCAAAGGATGTACTTAATCACATACCTGTTGATGATAGGTCTAGTTGCCTTAGAGATGTCGATTTGCTGCGAGATGATTTGCCTGTTGAGCGTACTCTTGGTATACAATGGTGTGTGGAATCGGATACCTTCCAGTTCCGTATCACTCTAAAGGACAATCCGTTTTCCCGTCGTGGTGTTTTGTCCACATTGAGTTCTGTTTATGACCCTCTTGGCTTTCTAGCTCCTGTGATTTTGATAGGCAAACAGCTTCTTCAGCAAATGTGTAGAAATAACACTGATTGGGATAGTCCTTTATCTGATGATTTTAAGCCCCTGTGGGAGAGATGGAGACATGACATCTTGCAGTTGCATTCCTTGCAGGTGCCAAGGTGTATAAAACCTGCAGACTTTGGTTCTATCGTGAGATCCGAATTGCATAACTTCTCAGATGCAAGCTTTAAGGGTTATGGCCAGTGCTCATACCTGAGACTGATAGACTCTAGAAATCATGTTCATTGTTCGCTTTTGTTAGGCAAATCCAGAGTTCATCCCTTAAAACAAACAACAATTCCGCGTCTAGAACTTACTGCAGCCGTGGTTTCAGTAAAGGTTGGTAATTTGCTGCAGCTGGAATTAGACTTGGATCATATTGAGCAGTGGTATTGGACCGACAGTAATGTTGTCTTGGGTTATATTTCCAACGACTCCCGTAGATTTCACATCTTTGTCGCAAATAGAGTACAGGAGATTCGGAACCATACAGAACCAAATCAGTGGAAATTCGTTAAAAGTGCTGACAATCCAGCCGACATTGCATCTAGAGGTGCGTATGCTCAAGAATTGTTAGAATCCTCTTGGTTCACTGGTCCAAAATTCTTGTGGGAGCCTTCCATACCTTCTGTTAATGATGATACCGAGATCAGAAACTTGTCTCCTGATGATCCAGAAGTTAAGAAATCTATTGTTCATACTTCTTTAGCCATATGTGCTCATTCCAGTATTCTTGAACGAATAGGATATTTTTCTGATTGGACTCGTGCGAAGAAGGCAATTGCGGTCTGCCTTAGGTTTAAGGAAATGCTTGTCAAACGTTCTATCAAGAGGTGTTCCAATGTGTCATGTAAGTTTGATGTTGAGCTGCGTTTAAAAAATTATCATCCAGTTCAGGTGAACGAGGTTCAATCAGCCGAAAGAGAAATCATAAAGTTAGTGCAGAAAGATGCTTTCAGCGATGAGCACGAATTATTGTCAGCAGTTGTCAAGTCTCAGAACAAAAATTCAAATTTAAAGCATTTTAATGTTTTGCAAAAAGGTTCTCCGATTTTCAAGTTAGACCCTTATATGGATGGGGAATGTATCATTAGAGTTGGCGGTCGTCTAGCTAATTCGCAGTTTTCTCTTAGCGAGAAACATCCCATTATCTTACCCAGGAAGGGACATGTATCTGATCTGATTCTTAGACATTTCCATGAGAGAGTAAAACACCAAGGTCGGGGAATGACCATAAATGAAATCAGAGCAAATGGTTTCTGGCTTCTTGGTTGCAGCTCTGCAGTTTCTTACCTGATATCTCGCTGCTTGATTTGCCGTAAACTGAGAGGCTCATTGCAAGTACAAAAAATGGCCAACTTACCCTCTGATAGACTCGAACCAACGACTCCGTTTACCTATTCTGGTGTAGATTACTTCGGACCATTTTACATTAAAGAAGGCAGAAAAGAACTTAAACGTTGGGGTGTTTTGTTTACGTGTCTCTGTTGTAGAGCCGTGCATGTAGAGGTAGCATGTTCTTTAGATACGAGCTCCTTTATAAATGCTCTTCGTCGTTTCTTGTCAATTCGTGGTTCGGTTCGTGTTCTAAGATCTGACCGTGGTACTAATTTTGTAGGAGCACAGCACGAGCTCAAAGACGCCTTTGGTGAGATGAATTTTGACCAGATACGTCACTTTCTACTAAATGAGGGCTGTGACTTTCAATTTAATATGAACGTTCCATCCGCTAGCCACATGGGTGGCATTTGGGAGCGCCAGATCCGCTCGGTTCGCAACATTTTATCCGCTTTAATGTTACAAAATGGGTCACAATTGGATGACGAAGCTTTACGCACTTTCATGTGCGAAGCGGCAGCCATTGTTAATAGTCGTCCGATTACTGTTATGAATGTGAATGATCCTCTTTCTGCTGAACCCCTAACGCCAAATCACCTTCTTACTTGTAAATCCAAGATCATTCTGCCACCTCCTGGAAATTTCAAAAGGTGCGATTTGTTTTCCAGAAAACGTTGGCGCAGAATCCAATATTTGGCAAATGAGTTCTGGGTTAGATGGAAACGGGAATACTTACATAACCTTCAGGAAAGGGCTAAATGGATTCCTGCTCGCCGAAATCTTTGCGTTGGTGATGTCGTTATGATAATGGACGAAAACCTCCCTAGAGGTCAATGGCGATTAGGAATGGTTTCTGAGGTGTTTCCAAGTAATGATGACCTAGTAAGAAAGGTCAAGGTACAAGTAGGCGAACCAGGCTTAGATAACAAAGGCAAACGAATAAGAGATATGAGTTTCTTAGAAAGACCTGTTCATAAACTGATTCTTTTGAGAGAGACCGAGTGATTCCCAGTCGAGGAGCCAGTTATATATCATTGTATTGAATAATTTGTTTTTCTTTCTATGTACATTGATATTTTATTTTTAAGATGCGAATGTTTAAATCGATCAAATTCGTCAGAACAAGTTTTGTAAGTTAAATGCGTTATATAATTATATACCGTATATGTTTTATTGTTGTTGTTAAAATTAGATAATCCTAATTTTGGGGAGCCATGTTGATGCCGTCGCGTTGGTTGTGGTACGAATCGGCTTAGTGCGAAACATATTTAATTCCGACGTGATTATCTCCCTTTGACTTTTCTGCGGCATTTGTAACGATTGTTAAACGTTTTGGGGGAAAACGATCTTCGAAGAGTTTTTAAGTTCTAAATAGTGGCAAAGAGGTTTGTTATGCAGAATTGTTGTCTATTTTATAATATTTTGACTATATTTTTCTATGGAGTATTGTATTGTTGCATTTCGAACCAAATGTTTGATATTTTAAGTCTCAGAATTCGATTGTGTTTTGTCTTTTCAGTTTTCACGTGAGCATTGCGAACAATACAATCGAAATTGCGGAAATAAACTGTATTAAGCTCTCAGTGTATGTCTTTGTCAATCGGCCAGATTGCGCGCCATCAGCTCGATACCCTGAAAGGCGACTGGTCGCCATAAATACAATCAGCTGCTCCGTACGGTGGCACAAAGGTGGTATGTGTGTGTTTTTATTTATCTTGTGCGCACGAGATACTATGTCGTGGCCACGAGTTACTATGTCGTGGTCACGAGTTATTAAGTCGTGGGAACGAGATAGTTAAGTCGTGGCCACGAGATACTATGTCGTGGCCACGAGTTACTTAGTCGTGGCAACGAGTTATTAAGTCGTTGCCATGAGTTACTAAGTCGTGGGAACGAGATACTATGTCGTGACCGCGAGTTACTGAGTCGTGGCCACGAGATAGCTAAGTCGTGGGAACGAGATACTTTGTCGTGGCCACGAGTTACTAAGTCGTGGCCACGAGATAGCTTGGGAACGAGATACTATTTCGTGGCCACGAGTTATTAAGTCGTTGCCACGAGATAAATAACAAATCAGATTACACCATTTATATGATTTGTCCTATTTAACTAGACATGTGCTACTGTACAAGTATGGCCCTACTTCACCTGCCTGTAAAAGTGCCATTTATACAAGTTATTGACTGGTCAATAATTTTACATTTAGCGTCACTGTGACCCTGATTTTTGACCCAATGACCTCGAAATTATTAGATGTCATCTACTAATCAGGCGAAATGATCTTTCTAGGTTATATAAACCATGACTTATCCCTACTAAATTATTCATCAGACAAGGATTTTACATGAAGTGTCATAGTAACCTCAAACATCCTTATAGGCTATCTACTATCCATGGGCAATGTCCCTACCAAATAAAATGAAGCAGGACTTATTGCTTCTCATGTTATCGTAAAAACAAGGTTAACAGGCCGTAGTACGTACAAACTAACCAACTGTCCCAACAAATGGCTATAGTCAAAATTAATGTCTGATTGGCCTGACTAATATGATCCTTAAGACAAGTTCAAAGTGAATATCTAAGCTCTAATCTTTGTGGATATAATGTTTTATGATGTATATCTAAATATCTAAGCTCTAATCTTTGTGGATATAATGTTTTATGATGTATATCTAAATATCTAAGCTCTAATCTTTGTGGATATAATGTTTTATGATGTATATCTAAATATCTAAGCTCTAATCTTTGAGGATATAATGTTTTATGATGTATATCTAAATATCTAAGCTCTAATCTTTATGGATACCACGTGACAGGGGTAATGATAAAAATGAAAGTCACTTTTCCTTTGTAACATTTTTTCCAGTAAGGGACATGTTTAAATATTTATAAGCCTAAGAAAGTTGTATGAATAACACATGAGAAAGATATACTTTTTCTTTTCCTCACCAAATAATGTCAATAATTTCAAGTATATCTATTGACTATTGATGAAAATAACATACTTCATATCAATAATCCTTGTAGGAATTCTGTTAAGCAAATGAGGTGTTGGGGGAAGGGGGTAGGGCATACAACAACAAAGATATGTTTGTTAAACTCAAATGCGTTATGTCAACTTTTAACAGCATCTTCCGAAGCTGTGTTATCTTATTTTGTGTTCGGCTGTAAGTTAAAAAGATTGATGGCGCCTTTCCAGCTCATCTGGTTGGAGTGAAACCCAAGACTTTTCTCAATTCCTGCGTATATGGACATTATTATAGTTCACCAAACATCATACTAATATAACTTAAAAATTCATCAAGAATAAAATTATATTGAATACCAAAATATTTCAGACGTGGCTATAAAATATTGGTGCTCGTAAACTTGCACGCTGAAGGACTATTAAAACTTCATTGATTTCCTGTGGCAAAGTAAACAAAAGATTAGACATACTTATGTCAACTTCAAAAGTTGATACCATTTGTTTAAATACATTACACTGTCAAGATTGCGAAAAATAAATGATTCAGATATGTGTATACAATCCAAACAATGTAGCAAAGTTTTGTTAGTCTTTAGAATCTGATGTTCAATTAAAATGATATATATATAATAGTTACATTCAGTTACGAATGTTATCATTCATTCTACGCCGAGCATTTTAAGCAACTCTTTGTCATGAAACTCGTACATGTTTTTGTTATGAATACCAAATATTTTGCAAAAGAACAAAAGAACAGCTCGGTTACCATGTCCATATCATTGTAACTCAGCCAAAATGACTGATGGTGGGGGTTCAGATGCAAAATAAATTAAGCGTACAAAAAGTGGACTAATGACCTCTCCAATTACATTGCGTGCAGAAAATTGCATATTTATATCTCTTTTTTCGCTATCAAACATATTTCTAGCTAGTATTTATAGCTGGGTGACCTTACCCAATTTATAGTGAGGAATGATCATATCTAAAAATAACTGAACTGTACCAATGACCTAGACTGTTAATGACTCATTTTACATCAAAATGAGTAAAAGAGAACTAGGTTAAAAAGGGTCAGCTATACCATCCTAAAAACAATACTCCTTGTAGAGGACAAGTTTCAAATTCCACAATATTGTAGCTATTACAAATGTTTACTGTTACTTTTTTTCGAAATCATACAGGCCAAAGAATTATAAACCGGATAAACCACTGTCGTAATGTACATGTACATGATATTTTCTGATTTTTCCTTTTTGTCCACCGCGATGTTAAATTTTCGTTTAAGTATAGTCGTATATCTGGTACCTGGAGTACCAAGTTAGTTCTGATCATACATTATAATGACTTTATTATTCATATAACTGAACAATATGTATATCTGTTAAAAATCATTACATTACAATGATGGAGGTTGTCAATGAGATCGTGGCAATACGTATACATGTATATAAAACTACTCCTTGGAATATCACAAAAACTCCACTGAAGTCTACTAAACTTATGAAATTAATATGCAATATATAATATTTAAATATACTCGAAATTGAATTAATAATCTACCTTTTAAGCTATTTTTAAGCTGATTTTTGTGGAAAGCTTTGTAACGCTTTTCAATTTGGTGTCAATTAAAGCAGTAAAATTGATCATCACTTGGAAGCGGAGAGAGAAATAATCTGTAATTTAGTACAAAGTTATACAAAAACCTTGAAAAAACATCAGCGGTTCTTTAATGTAAAATATCTCAGTGGAATCGTGTTACAAAGACTTTGCTCTAATGACTCTGACAATAATCACTTTAGCGATAACAATAACCCCTACAGTAAAAAAAAACAAAAACAAAACAAAAAAACCCGTAACTAAAAGTATGACTTGTCGGGATTCCATATTTATGAGTCAGTCATGGTAGCATGTAAAAAGCTATACAAAATGTCTTTATTTGTCCCATATAAAATGGACGTGTTCAAATGAATTATATTTTATTTCCATCAAAATAAGTATATGCTAACGCTTTTGTCAACATTCTTTGTTGAATTAAGGTGTCAGTAATGATGGATTTATACAATAAACCTAAATAAATCAGTATTTACTTTTTACATGAAATTTTATTTCATTCTTTTTTCATTTTATCATCTGGAGGTCAGTAGGAGCATAAAGCTTTTCAGTTTTCTTTCTAACCATAGCCCTCCTTATTTCCACTTTCGGTGAAGTTCAATGACTATGTCACTTCGAGATAACTTAATTAAAATAATAAATATAAATGTGTGGCACACTAATATTGTAGACGTTGTGCCGCGCGAAAGGCGTATAATTTAACTAGAAAAAGTAAATAAAAAAAGATATGTTACAATTAGATTAAAAAATGATAATGATAGATATT